ACCGGAGTTGACTCACTGTGGAAGAATTTTAAACACTTCTTTGTAGAATTATGTCCTACCTCAACTCTTGACCACTTTCCTTCTTGACTGATAATCATAATGATTAAAGCTCCTTGACTCCGACACATTTCTTAACATTAAAATCTTTACACTCTGTTTCAGAGGTCAATGTTACTTATGAAAAGCTATCTTTATTACGACGTGGGAGACTAATGTTTTAAGCTGTACAAAGTTTTGGGAAAAGATGGTTAACAGAGTACCTTAACAGACTGAATTGCAAACTCAATTAAAATGGACGTTGCGGCGCCGTTCTCTAGAAGCAGAAGACATTGTACTGATTAAAAAGGAACTTATAGCGCCTGGTAAGTGGTCCTTAAGAAGAATTGTTAAAGTTTTTTAAGATCTCAAGTCCTTGGTAAAGGTAGTAAAGGTTAAGACTAGTACTACTTAGCTGGGAAAGCCAATTTATAAAATTATATTACTTAGAGCTATTTTTTACATTGACTATAATTAATAGAAGCCGATGAAACGTTGTTAGATAATTTTTTCTTGTTTTTTGTATTGACTGTCAATTAATTGGTCAAATAATGCGTTAAATTCAATAGAATTGAAGAATTCTCTTTATCAGTTATTTAATATATCAGATTCATTTTTTTTTTTTTTTATTAATGTTACGAAATTAATGTGTTATTGGATTGAGTATTATCAAAATTCATGCTATCAAACTCATATATCGCATCGTTCATCAAACTAATACGTTAATACATACAACTTGTGGAAAATAAAGCTTAACCCTAGCTCTCTGAACATCAAATCTGATCCATTGTTTGCTTTTGTCAATTTATGAAAGTGGACTGTGCTGAACCAACAGTTGTGATTTACATTATATACCTATGTTTAAAAATGTAAGGATATTGTCTTGTTTTAAGTAAAAGTGTTAGTATCACTTCTTCGTTTTGGCCTTTTATCCTATTCCTATTATCTTTCCCTATATCTGGCTCATCAGTTATTGTATAAAGTCCACTCTTGAGTTTATTCTTTCACAAATAGTTTTTCAAATTTTCAAGTTGAGTCAATTTAAAACTAAATGATCAGATAAACTTTTATGAATTATGCAAGTAAGCTTCAAAAAATTTTTGATCGTTAACAACTCTAAAAGTTGAAAAGCAGTCATTTTAAAATTTGGAAAAATTATTTATTCTAACATTAGTAACATTTCGTAGGAATTTTAAGCTCCTAGGTATTTTTATTGTTGAGATATTAAATAAAAAAAAAACGCTTTTTTAACTTCCATACAATTGTATAGACGAATATAGGTTTAAAAATTGTTAGAATAATGAGAATTTGATTTGTGGACCTCAAAATGTTAGAACCCTCATTTCTGCAAGTTTCGCCAGTACGAAAAATATTTTTATCCTTAAACTAGCTGCAAACCAAACACTATAGTTGGGATAGGCATGTCTCAAAATCAAACAGTGCTCCTAACAGGGTGACATTGATTTAAGATATTTCTTAAGTTTACAGCAGACACCATTCAGCGTTGGGATTCTCCGTTTTAAGGGCTTTTACATAGACCCATTTCTGACATTTCTTCGCGAGCATCTGTGTGATTTTTTTCTATACTTCCTAATCACTGTGTTAGCTCTCGGGTGGTTAGTGTAACACTTTATCGCGTTATGCTGATAAGCTGCGTTCACAGAGGAAAAGTTTTCTAGGAGCCGAAAATATGTGGAGTATATACTGAAACTCCTGAACGCCAGCTAACCCTAACACCACCTAGCGTGATTTTTAGTTTCAAGAAAATTCCTTAGACTCTAGGTTGGCTGAGCACATCCAATATCAGTGACCATCAATCTCGGCTATCCTTGACTAGCATCGGGCCATATCATGAAAGCCAGTGCGTTGGTAAGCCTTAGTTCTGCGCAGCAAACTACTTGTAAGTTACAAAAACAGTTTTACACAAAGAAATAAATTATCTTCAGAAAGTAATCTGATATAAACAGAAATTTATTGTTAAATAAACGTGTGACATTTAATTAACTAAGTTTGTTGCAATCGAAACGTCTTTTAAAACCAAAACCAACAACATCTTTTAAACATGACAACACTTGACATTTACATTCGAAAACAACTTTTTTTATTCTGTTACGCCTAAAAGACAAAAACTGTCTCAGATTTTACACTAAAATATATACTTAATTGATCTATAACCCTACTATAAAGTAGTAAATTTATATTATCAAACCTTGGGATGTTAACTAGCTCGTCCTAGGAAAAAGCACATACGATCTTGATCACCCCCTAGACTACACCTATACAACCGAGCAGAGTATGATATATGGAGCTGGTGTAAGGCCCGAGTATAGAATGGGTGAAACGTTACAGCCTTAGGTGATGACTTGCTTAACTTGCGTATGCGTTTTTAAGCAACCCCGATTCTTGTAAGGAAAGTATATTTTGAAAACCTTAAGCCTATCAATACACTACCATGTATAAGTTATACGTATCCCAGCATCCTTAAACTTGAAACTCCCAACAATGCATACATCAGGTGTCATTTTGAACTACCTGTAGAGTACCTGTGTATAGGCTATGCGTACCAAGCACGTCATAGGGCCACAAATTAATTTCCCACAAGTTTGCGTATGATCAGTAATTCTAGCAGCACCTAGCTACCTACGGTAATTACTTACTTGTCAGACATTCTCTAGCCAAAAACAACATTCCCCATGCGTGATACCATGTGACAGACATACCTAAGCACAACCAAAAATATTCTCCAACTGTTATGCATCTATTCAATATTTAAAGAAGTATTAACTGATCAATTCTTTATTACATACGACTGTTCACGTTAGACATGCCTTGGTGCCACCTACCACGTCCCTGTACTTCTGGCACGTCATAGCATCACTTAAAATTGTTCCACGCGTACGTACGCATTTACTGTGCTCTAGTGCAACCTAGTTTGTCCCTCGCAGAAGAGTGCGTGCGTAAAGCAGAATCCAGTAACATTGTCTTTCACTGTAAGACCTCACGTGCCATGGCACCAGCCAGTCAACTATCGATGTCTCTCACATCACCAAGAACGCGTCCCAAAAATACTAGCGTATTGGAGCACGCCCGGGGAATACTAGCATACGCTATCGCTTATCAGGGTATGCAAAGGCCAGATCACTGTCAGATGCGCTAGCATAGTCTCAGATAAACTATGTCTTCGGTCACGCTCGTATACGCTAGTACAATTTTAATGCATCTACATAGTTTAATTTAATTTAATCAGTACACGTAGCCTGTATACAGGGGCACGTCAAGGGGCATCAAGCTCAAGGATGCTAAGACACGTATAATTTATACACGGTAGTTTAGTGAAAGCTTAATGTTGTCAGAATATACAAAAAATATACATATGAATTTACTTCTTAAACGTAGTTTGCCAGGCAACGCTAAGGTACACTAACGTTTTGTCTTTCATGATGGGGCCCGATGCTAGTCAAGGATAGCCGAGGTTGGTAGTCACTGATTTTGGATATGTTCAGCTAGCCTACAGTCTAAGGAATTTTCTTAAAACTTGAAATTATGCTAGAAGATGCGAGGGTCAGCTGGCATTTACCAGTACCAGTATTTTCAGCCACCAGAAAAATTTTCCACTGTAAACACAGCGTAATAAACAATGGTCCTTGTGTCTAAAGTGTTAATATATGTATCGTGTACCGTAAGAACAGTTAGAATTAACAGTAAAGGAAGAAGAAGGGGTAAGATAAGGGGTGACTCTCTTGCAGTAAAATTTATTCAAAAGTTGTCATTATTAAAAAAATATGAGATATGGAATTTCAGACTCCTTATATCTGTGCACAGAAATTAAATAAAAATAAAACATGCAGCAGTGATGAAGAAGATGTATGCTTGAAGGCAAATGTAAACGTGTATGAAAAAAATTTTTTCAAATATAATCAAGGTGGCTCGGATGATTTTTACTGGAATGATAAAAATTTTTGAAATTTCGAAATTATGCAAATAAAGTGCGTCTAAATAATTTACAATAAAAAGATACTATGGTCAATGGCTTTATTTTTCAGAAAATTGCTATTAAAAATTTACCAATTCAACAAACAGTCTTAATGTGCCTGAAGCACAGAAAGTTCCTTTAGAACAAAACTTACAACTTTTGATTCGACCTCAGAAATATTCATGAATCATGAATTACAGTATCATATTATTTTTATAATACTAACATAAGATCCTCGAAATTTGTATACATTAAAAAACTAACCTTATTATATATTATTGTAGATACTATTGAATGACATGCACTAAATAGAAACTTAGTACTTTCATATTTAAATGAGCTCGGAAAAGAAATTTTGATTTATTATTCAATTTTTATTACTTATCACAATGTTAGTAAATTTTTAGAAAGTGTGCAGAAAAAAAAAAGCCTCAGAAGCTTACTACAAATAAGAGAGAGAGTTCTTTAAAACAAACTATTTTTTTTAAAAACAGGAAAAACAACAATTTCATGTTTTTTTGTAAGGGGTATGGACAGGTGAATAATGAAATGAGGATAGCATGTAGGGGCGTAGAAGGTCAAACTTGTTATAAAAAAAATGTCTGTAGCTTTGTTTTATTTTGTTATAACTTATTATCAGTGACCANGAAATTTTAAGATCGTGCTTTATTCATCATAATTTCTAAAGTATCAGTTATTTAACCTTAGTGACTGAAATTAAGTTGTTTTGCGTAAAAGTGTGGATAATGAGCTATTGTGTTTTTTACTAGTTTTCTTAGAAGTAAAAGGTCAATACACTTTTCAATTATGTTCGTACATACAGTTGTACGAAAGTGCTAAAACGGGAAAGGTTGCCTAAAATTTCACAACTCTCTTTTTTTTTCATTGATTGCTAGTCTCATAATTATAGTATTACATTTTCTCTTAAGGTATGAAGGCTTTAAGAGTGAAGTGAACTTAGTTTAAAATGTAATATTCCCTTTGAATTTACCTAGTTCCTGCTCTTTCGCAACTCAATCTCGAAATGATAACAGCTCGTGCTTGTCTATGTCCAACGTAAACAGTACGTATTTCTATGCTTCCACACATCATTTTAATTAACCATTGGTTAGTGTCAATTCCAAATCTCAATAAATGTAAATGAAGCATTCGATTCCTGAAAAAATTAATTTATTCTTATTTCAAAATTTTTATAGATTATACAATTTGATTTGTTTAAAATATATAAATCTGATGTTATAAATAGTGAGCAATAAGATAATAGTCATTTTGTAAATAAGATATCTAATAGTTGATTTTGTGTTAATTATAATAGTAACAAATTGTTTTTTTATTATTTCTTTTTTATTAAGAGTTTTTCTCATTCTCAATTTTTCAAAAGACATATAAACTCAAATCGAGGCAAAAAAATAAGAATTAAATGTTACCTTAAAAGGTATAACTTGATTCACCGATATTTTTCTTCATATTAAAATCAATGTTAATAGTATGCAAAAACTCTATTTCCTATTGCAAATGTTTTAAGTTACTTAGCTATTTTCACTCAATGCATATTAGTTTATAAGTAGAGTAGAAAAACAAGCTAAAAGAGAATATAACAACCATGGCTCAGCTTCGTTTGACAATGTTATTTGTATTGATTTTCACGAAAACTTTTCGAAAAATAACAAAATTTGTTACACGTCATTAGATATACGTAGCATAACTCTAGCTTTGCTTCAGTATCAATTGTACATAAAAAAAATAAATAAAAATTAAATGACACCTTATACATCTAATCCCTTGCTATACGGGTAAATGACCCAAATACTGCGCACTGAAATTTTCGACTATGTTAAATTTCACATTTTTCAATGTTTTTCGATGTAAATTAAAGCAGTTTTACTTAATGTTTATCTGCGGCATCTTATGCAGTTAAAACAACAAACATTTTTCTGCTGTGTTACTTATTTTTTTTTTTTTTTTTTAATAATTGTTTTAGTACTAATATCACTTGTTGGTATTACTGCACACGGTTGTAAAATAAGCACCAGTCGCTGCGTCCCCAAGTACTGCGTGGGTATCTCCCGCAAGGTTTTAATGCTGAAGCCCCAGACCCGATTGCTGCGCACAAACTACTGCGCACGACTACAAAGGTTCGTAGGTTAAATTCAGCTCGAGTCACTCAGTTAAACAACTAGAAATGTCATGATGTAAAGTATAATGCTGGATTGAACGTTACTAATGTCTGTGAGTGTTACAATATACAAGAAATCGAATTTTTTAGTCTAATTTACCTTTTTTCTAATACCATCGAGTGCGCAGTAGTTGGTGCCTGCGCAGTAGTTAGGACATTTACCCTAGTCCATTGCTCGAAAGATTTTTCAATCTTCTGTTTCCCAGTAGAGAAAAAATTGACCATTTTTTTGCAGAATTTTCCCAAAAATACAAAAGAAATAGTTTTGTACAAAACAAAAGTTAGTTTCATTTATTTATTTAGCAATTGATGAAAAAATGCTAATTTTTTCTTTAGCTTTTTGCTTATATCTCCACATCTATTGCTCTTACGAGGAGGGGTTCCCAAGTGTGTCTCACCAATTTTAACGAAATTTGGATACGTTGTGGATAATAAAAAATGAGAGACACGTGTTTTTTTATTTGCTAATAAAAGTTTTAAGAGAGTGTAATCAACCTGTTAAAAGTGGCCGTTAGGGTGGGACGACTTTGAGTGGGGAAGTGCGGTTGGAAAAGATCAAAGTCACTTTCGAGTGACTCGAGCCGTCCCTTTAAGTCTAACAACGATGGTGGCCCTGCTTCCAATGTTGTTGGCGTTGTGGCTCCGTTTGATTCATCGGAATCCAACTCATCGGACAGGTGCGGTGATTGAGCGGTGATTCGTAGAGGCCTCGACGAGTTGGTCACCAGGTTTACTAGTGGGTGTCTAGTTTTTTTTTTTTTTTTAAGGTTCAAGGGAAAAGAAGGTATAGACAAATGTCTTATATTGGTACAATGATGTTTTATTGAATACGTACTTAATCAATTGAGTGGCTTAGGAGGTATGCATTACACGTATTTGCATATCTCGGATCGATACAATCAGTCGTCACACAGTCCGTCTTATATACATTACGTCGCTTTCTTATTTGCGATTTTCGCTAAAGACTAGTGGTCGCCACCCGGCGAGAGATAGGTGGTACTATAAAATCCTAAGGTGGAAGTCAGAGCTGCGCGCGAAATTTCAAAATTCAAATTTATGTAGAAACGATCTAATTTAAGAAAAATGATTATTTTAGTATACAATAACTAATAAAATATTGCCCCGGATGGTAACAAATTCTCAAAGTTTACCCCTAAAAACCGTTTTTCGAAGGTAACTCGCATTCTACAAAATATTTTGGAACAAGGAAAATTAGAAAATTAATATTTTGTTAATACGTAAGTTTCACAAGCATTTTAACTCCATGGGACTGCAACCCCTATTTTTAAGGAACGAAAATGAATGTTTTTCAAGTTTTTATTAAAATGAAAAGTTGGGATTCAATCTAAAAAAATTTTAAAAGGTGTACTTATACTGTCAAGTAAAAAAAAAAGTTGACGTGTTTTTAAGTTTTAGTAAAAAAAGCTTTGTAAGGGGGTGAACAACCCCTAGCACTAATAAAAGACGTCCTTTGGTTTATCTCACGAATTTTAATTAAATTTGGATATGTTGTAGAGAATGAAAAAGTAAGAGACACGTGTCTTCCTTTTTTGGCTCATAAACGTTTCCAGGGGGTGTAATCCACCCATAAATTTTACCCCTCCAATCTGTTTTGCTCGATATCTCGGCTTTAAAATTAAAGTTTTTAAAAAAAAAAGGTAGAAATAATTTCTCGAAATTCCAATTGTATTCCAATAGGTGATCTACATAAATTGGTACCATAAGTTGCATTCCCTGTTTTTAAAGGGTTAAAAACATATTTCTACCTATAATTTTACTGATTTAAGAATCAATAGCAATTTTAAAAAATTGAGATAAGTTTTTAACACATAAAATCAAAACGAGAACTTAATGCATTCCAGCATTCTCTGAAATATCATCAACAAGTAGTGAAGCAACCCTTGTGATTACATAAATGCGAACACGTCAAAATTGTGTAAAAAAGACCATTTTTAGGGACGCTGATTACAAATCTGCTATCAGAGGTACCAAATTCATAATGACAGATCAACGATAGCGCGTGGGAATATTGAGAAAATTTGACTTTTTCAAGCTCGTCCTTTAACAATTATGCCTATGGTAAGTACATTATAAAATTTTTTGTATTTGCATTCTAGCAAGGTTGGTTGTATAACATATTCTTATGTGTACATTTTTTTTATAATTACACCATATAATGTATTGTTCTATGAAGTTCTTACAATAATGGTAGTCCTCGAATAAGTGTTAAAAACACAAAGATTTTTTACACTTACCACAACGTATTACTGCAATGTTGGCACATTCTTCAACTTCACAGTGAGTTTGACAAGATTCTTTGAAGCTGAAATCTCCAGGATTATCAAATTTATCTGGTCTTTTACTAAAATAACCACTTTTGTGCCAGTAATATATAAAAAGATTTTTATATCTTGGAGAAGACATTTTCTTGTGGACTAATGATTGAAGTTTAACTATATTGTTTCTTACATGTAAATTCAAATCATAATTCATTAAAACTTTATCATCAGAGAATTTCCTGACATAGTTTTTCCAGTCACGAAATCCATAAACATCAAGTGGCTAAATTTTTCCAGTTTTTCCAGTTGGATTTTTTTTTACGTTCACTATTTTATTTCGTAGCATTGTTTNAAAAAAAGTTTAATTGAAATTAGTTCTATTTTGTAAAACTACACCAGAAACCAATCTTGACTTCACTCAATTCTCAACTTAAATTTTTTGGACTAAAAATAGATGATTTACAACTAGAGTGGTTACATTGTTATCGATACTGGACATACAAGGCACTGATGCAAATCAATCGCGCCAAAAAAGTGTTAATATGAATTAGTACAGAAAATAATGACAACAATTGTACTTTAACAGTAAGTGACAATAACAGTGATGATTATAACTATATTACTTAAAAAGGATAATAAAAACGTATTATTTCCCCTAAAATAAGAGAAACATAAGTTGCTCTACTACATGTTCATTTATATTAACAAAAAATAATCATCACAAAATAAATCCATCAAGTTTTTTATCATAATAATCCTTTCTTGAAATAAATATAACTTATTGAATACCCAAGATCAGTACGCTTCCAAACTTTCTGAAATTTCAGGAATTTGGAGTATCTGGGATGCTACAGTCTCGTGACAAAAACTGTTCATACCTTTTATTGGTAGTGAGTAACAAAGAGATAAAACTGATATTAATGATTCATCAGACTATCAGGATTCACAGTGAATTTTTGAAAAATTTTGTATTAAAGGATTTTTCGATATACAAATCGACGAAGTTGAACATCATAACACTAGTTTTGATAAAAAGCGGCATTACTTCATATTCTCGTGAAAAAAACTTTATTTAAAGACCAACTGCATAAACAAAATACTAACCCAAGAAAATTCATATTATAAACCAATTAGCTCTTTAAATAATTCTAATCACCGACCAATTTTAAAAGATGTTAATTAAAACGCGAACAGATACTTTAGCGGCCAATACAAGATGTATATAAACAACAAACATTTAAAATTTGTATGGAAATAATATAATATTGAATAAATCATAATTCTTGACAATTTTTGATGACTATTTATTGGTTGGAGTATTCAAAGGAAGGTTAGAACTTTTCTCGAATAAACTGTACAGTTTCTCGATTCTTACAATTAATGTAAAGTATAAAAGGCAAGGAAATTTAAAAAGTAATCTCGGGTTTTTTAAAACGTTTTTCTCGTAACTTCTAGCGTAATAGCTCAATTGACTGGAAAGTAAGATATGATTCTCCTTAAGGTGGTTGTAGAGCAAATTTGGACCATGTATTAGATTAATCAGAAATTAAGTTGCATGGATCTAAAAGCCTTTAAATCAATGCTGCAACAATAGGTATCAGTTTTTTTACATGAAAAAATTTTTTTAAATTTAAAAAAAAAACAGATGTTCAAGTGTTATCAACTAGAAACAATAATCTTTTGATCCGTTAACGGATGAAG